GTGTGGGGGGGGGGGTCACCCTGGCTCTTGCCCTCAGGGTCAAGGTAAAGGGCAGGTCTGCAGCCGACTCCCAAAATCCGTAGTCCATGATCTTGGGAAGTTACTAAACTTGGAACCTGAGTCCTCGTCTGGACAGCAGGGATAATCGTATTGACATGACCGATAATCCTATCACTAATCCTATCACGTGTCACCCAGTTGTGAGTTCTAACAGAGCACCTGTTATCTCATCCTGCCAGTCCTCTACCCACATGTTGCTGTGGTTACCAGCCTCTAGGCCAGGGGGGAAGGGGCTGAAGTTATGGCCCAGCCCCACCTCCCAGGCGGCCCCAGGGCAAAGGGGAACTGGAAAGGAGGGCAGGAGAGGGGCCCTTGCCCATTGGAGGGGGTCGGGCCTCCCGGACCCCTGCCCTCTGCACAGGAGTCTGGGGGGGGGGGGGGTTGGGGTGTGCAGTGTGTGGGGAACAAAGGCGCTTGTTGTTTGCTTCTGGGCACCCAGGCAGCCAAGTCACAATGAAAGTCTGTGACCTGCCTCCCTGCAGGTTTCTGAGACCCTGGAGGGCAGGATGGAGAGGGCAGGGTGGGGAGGGCAGGGCGGGCACCTCCCCCAGACCGGGCCACCTGGCCACCCGCCCACCCACACAATCCTGTAGTTCCTGTCTGTGGGCACAGCAGGGCCTCTAGGGAGGAACTGGGGCATTTTTCTCGGCCTTGACCCCACAGTGAGCTGAAAAGCAGCGGCCAAGGCCCCATCCCTGAGACTCTGAGCTGATGGGCGGGCCCTTCCCGGGGACTCTAACAGGGGCCAGCCGGAGGACAGCCTGACAGGACCAGGGCAGGATGCAGACAGGAGGGGAGGGGTGCAGGGGATGAGGTGGGGACTCGCCCCGATTCCTCGTGCTGCCCTGCTCCCCCCAGTCTCAGGGAGGCCTGCTCATCTCTAGGGCGCCCTCAGGACCAGGTCTCCTCCCAGCACTGCGCAGCTCTTAGGATCCCAGGGCTTCCAGACGCCTGCTGGGGAGGGGAGGAGGGAGGGTGCCTGCGGGAGGCAGCCCATCAGTGTGTGTGCGCGTCTTCCTCTCCCTCCCTCTCTCCACTCGCTCTAAAAATCAATGGGAAAATATCCTCAGGTGAGGACTAACCAAAAATAAACAAATACATACATACATATACACATACTAGTATAGAAATAAAAAAGCTTTGTTGAGGTATAATGGATGTTCAGCAAACCTCATATTAAAAGTGTATTCAATACTTTCAAAGGACGTTTAACTGTATTTTATTTAGTTTTTGTTAATCCTCACCAGAGGATATTTTTCCATTGATTTTTAGAGAGAGTGGAAGGGAGGTAGGGGAGAGGAGAAAGGGAGAGAGAGATCGAGATCGATTAGTTGCCTCCCACACACGCCCTGACCAGGGCCACACTGGCAGGGCTATCTGTATTTTAAAGCATCTTCACATAAAGCCCACAAGATCCCCTTCCTGAATAGCTCCCCTCTCCAGGCCTTTTCCTGTGTAATTTCTGGCCACAGGCGCTCCCATGACTTCAGGCATGACCTGCGGGCTGGAGCCCCCTTTATTCTAAAGGGACTGAGCGCACATTGTTTTGCAACGATGGGCGTCCTCTGACCCTAGTCCCTGGGAGCAGGCACTGACTGTGCTTTCATCCTGTTACACCTGCAGCCAGTAGCAAGGCTGAGCGAGGACGGGACAGGTGCGAGGGCGCTGGGAAGGGAGAGCCTGGGAAGGGAGAGCCTGCGCCCGGAGCCTCGCAGGGCGGCAGGCGCCCTTGCAGCGCGCATCGGGCTCGGGCGCGGCTCTGTCCGCTTTCCAGGGTAAAGCAAACCCTTGGCAGGCTGCCCCAGTGGCCGGAGTGCTCACCGCCAGCGCCAGGCTCTCGGGTTGCTCCTCGTGGGGCGCACATGAAAGGCCGGTGCCCAGGGCGCCGGGAGGGGCCGAGCGCAGGAGGCTCAGCGAGGAGAACCTGAATGGAGCCCAGAACTGGCCCCTGTTCCCTGGGGGCGGCCACCTCTTCGTGGGATCCAGCCCAGGCGGCGCTTATCAAATAAACAGAACCAACAGCCGGGCGAGAGGGAGCCGCCCGGGCAGGCAGACACGGCGCCAGCGGGAAGGATGGCCCGGCACCGCCGAGTGGGGATCCGGGCAACGTTGGAACCGGAAGACTTGGGTCCTTGCCCCCAAAGTAGTTTGAAAAGACGTAACCGAGGGAGGGTTCCCCACAAACGGGATGTTCCGATCGGACGCGGATGACCCCGCCAACTCTGGTCCATCAGGGGTTTCTCGGGACGGAGGGGAGTCGCCCCACAGGCTGTCGCGGGCGGGTCGCCCGAGCGCACGGGAAGGTGCCCCTCGGACCGAGGCTGTCGGAACCGGGGACCCGAGTGGAGGTTCAAAGGGCCGCCGCCGGGGTCCCGGCTGGGGGTCGCCCCAAAGAGGCCGTCCGAGGGCCCTGGGCTGGCCCTGCCCGCCCGTCCCTGCGCCCGCCCGCCGGGTTAGTTACGCGCGGCAGCCCTACCTGGCTCCGGCCCGGAGCCCCCGGTGCGGCCTCCCCGCCGCGGAGAGGAGGGTGAGGAGGATCCCCGAGGAGACAGCCCCGAGCAGCAGCAGCCGCCAGAAGAGCGGGCCGCGCGGGAGCCCCATGCAGCGCTGCCAGCGGGCGCCCCGTCTGGTGTCCGCAGCACCGCGCCGGGCCGGAGCCTGGGAGCCAGGCGGCTTCCCGGAGGCAACGGCCCTGCCCGCCCCGCCCCGCCCCCGCCCCCGCCTCCGCGGCCTCCCGCCCTGCCCGACCCGGCCTCCGGAAGCCACCCCACCATCGGGTGGAGCGGGAGGCGGGAGTGTCGCCCCGCCCCGCCCTGAGCTGCCCGCGCCCCTGGCTCCGCCCTGTGCCCGGAGGCCCTCGAACTGCGGGCACCTCCGCTGCGCTCCCGCCTGCGTCCAGCCTGGGGCTGGGCCGGGCGCCTTCCGGTGCCGTCCATGGGAGGCACGTGGGGGCTTTGGGGCGCAGGGAGACACCCCACCTGCCGCCGAGGCCTCGCCCTGCGTCCGTCCTGTTGGGGGGGGGGGGGGGGCACGCCTCGGAAGGGCGCTCAAGTAGAGTCGGTGTAACCCGGCCAGCGTGGCTCTGGTTGACTACCGACCCATGAACAGGAGGTCACGGTTCCCCGGTGGGGGGCGTGCAGGGGGCAGCCGGTCCATGACTCTCCCTCATCACTGATGTTTCTGTCTCCCTCTTCCTTCCTCTCTGAAATCCATACAAATATATATAAAAGGAAAGACTAGTTGGGGCGGGGCACCTCGGGCCTTTCAAGAATTTGGGGAATTGGGTGTAATGAGCCGGTTCACCTGACAGCTGAGAGCGGGCGGATGGAAGACCCTAGATGCACCGGGTTGACGGTGGGCAGAGCCTGGGGGAGGGGCTGCGGGGGGGGGGGGGTGCTGCGGCTGAGCGCCCACTCACTTAAGGACTGTCCTTGGCGGCCAGGACCCGCATCGCACTGCATTCCCTTTAGGAAACGGAGGTCTCAGCCGCAGGGGAGGGCACCTGAGAGGTCTGGCGGGGGCTTCCGTGCCACCAGGAGCAGGGGCAGTTTGGGCACCTGTGCTCTTGACCCAGAGCCCCCCCCCAGGTGGTGACAGTCGGTGAGATGGGATATTCTCCAGGGGCAGTGTTCCTGGTCAGAGACCTGAAACCTGTGAAATACCCCAGCGCCCGGATCGGTCAGGACCTTCCCCAGCCTTCTGTTCTCACCTGTCTGCTCTCACCTAGCCAATTGCAAGTCCTCCCCAAAGCTTCCTGGAGCCCGTGCCAGTGGTCAGGAATGGGTCATTTAGTCTCAGTTCTCATAATTAAAAAAAAAAATGCATTGCCTGGCCAGTGTGGCTCAGTGGTTGAGCATCAACCTATGAACCAGAGGTCACAGTTCTATTTCTGGTCAGGGCACAGAGGAAGGGAGAGGGAGAGAAAGATAGACACAGCAATGACGAGAGAGAATCATTGATAGGCTGCCTCCTGCACACCCCCTACTGGGCATGTGTCCCCACCCTGGGCATGTGCCCTTGACCGGACTCAAACCTGGGACCCTTCAGTCCGAAGGCTGATGCTCTATCCACTGAGCAAACCAGCCAGGGTGAGGCTATTTCTAGGGAGAGTGGAAGAGAGAGGGAAAGACAGAGAGAAACATCGATGTGAGAGAAACACAGCAATTGATTGCCTCCTGCACACACACTGACCAGGGCCTGGGCCAGAGAGGAGCCTTCAGCCAAGGTACATGCCCTTGACCGGAATCGAACCAGGGATCCTTTGGTTGCAGGCTGACACTCTATCCACTGAGCCAAACCAGCCAGGGCAAAAATATATTTTTTTTTTAAAAAAAAAGAAGAAATGGGACACTTTAGATAATATATTGTAGCAACTCTGGTACTGGTAGCCCCCTCCCGGCCCAGGCTTGTGATTTGCTTGTCTGTTTAGTGATTGGCAGGCTTGTTTTTGTGAAGTGCCCACCCCCACTCCCTCGAGGCGTTGTTTGATGTTGCTGTGCAGGGAGGAGCAGATGGGTGCACCCGCTGTCCCCTGGAGGCCGCGGTGGGCGGGTCTGCTCATCTCTTTCCCTGGCCGTCCAGCAGTTAAGCTCCACTCAGTGCCCGCTGGTTGCCCTACGTTTACAAGATGGGCGCGGAGTTGATCATCATTACGTGATATTAATAATTATATGGGTTATTGTCTATGGGAGCTGCAGATGGCAGCCCGTTACTCAGTTCTTTTTACTTTGCTTGTGTTGTATATGCTTGAAACTTTCCATCTCAAGTTAAATTTATTTCTTTGTCTGAATGTGAAATAAACCTCATCAGATTCTTTAGAAATAGAAGGTCATCGCCCTGACCAGTGTGGCTCAGTGGATAGAGCATTGGCCTGCGGACTGAAGGGTCCCAGGTTCGATTCCGGTCAAGGGCATGTACCTGGGTTGCGGGTACATCCCCAGTAGGGGGTGTGCAGGAGGCAGCTGATCGATGTTTCTCTCTCATTGATATTTCTAACTCTCTATCCCTCTCCCTTCCTCTCTGTAAAAAAATCAATAAAAATATATTTTTAATAAAAAAATAGGTCATTATTAAGTTGAATTAAAATCTTGAAAAGTATATATAGATACTTTTCCCTTAAGAGGTGGATTATGATTTTACAAACCTGAGTAATGAAAATTTCAAGTATTCCGTGTTCTGAAACAATCCTGTGTAAGATCTTTGTAAAAACACAAAGATTCGTTTATTTCTCACCATCTGAAATGGCATGGATTTCAAGTAAGTTCCTAATCAACATTTATTAGATGTTGTAATTATATATCACAGGCTGGGTTTGTCATTGCAATCAGAATCATTTTTAGGTGATTAATTATTTTATGAAGAAAAAAAAAGCCATGATGGGCATCGTTCCCATTGTATTTCAGGAATCTATGAGAGGACAAATGTATGTACTGAATTGAGCTGAGTCGAAACTGAGCTTGCAAAAAGAAAACAGGTTGATGACTGAATTTTAAATATTCGCTGCGATGTTCTAGGTCTGGGATTAGCACTGTGATTCAGACAATTAGAGCCCAAAGCTTTTCAAGATTTAAAAGGATTTTTAAATGTTTTTTTCTATAGACCTATTACTGGGAGGTTTTTTTCCAACCTCTTAGAAATGTTAATTTCTTAAAAAGATAAATGATTTGTCAGAAATGAGCAGCCAGTTTTGACAGCAGACAATTTATTTGCCTACTTGCATTATTCAGTGCAAGCGATAAAGTTTTGCACAGTTGCAATTGGTCGTGGTAACAATAGGAAACAAAAATGTTAAAATTACAAAATCTAAAATGATTTTATCATTCATCTCAATTGCGCTGCCACAATGTACTTATTCTAATGCATTAACTACTTTAAAATAAATCAGTGATTTTAAGTATTTTTAATCTATGGTACTTAAAACTATTCCCAGTATTTTTTTTTATTAGTTTGGAGTCCAGATTGAGCCTTTTTCCATCTCAGTCCTAAATACTTTTCAAATCTGTGTTCATCCGTCCAGCCCTACTACATGCCAGTGGCTGCCTCTGCTTGCAGTACAGTTGTCTTCTGATTCCCCCCGTCTTCCCTTTTGTCCTTCCAAGTTCACTTGTCACTCAGCTCGCGGCCGCTGGGATTTACATGAGGTGGAGAGTCACCATCTCTCTCCTCTGCTTGAAGCGTGTTTGTGGGTCCACATCGCTGACAGTGATTCGCGAGCGTGAGAGCACATGTAGAGGAAAGCCCTGCCCTCCAGGTCGAGAGCCATGGTCGGAGTTAAAGGATGACAGCGTACGTAACGGTACGTGCAGATGTGGGCACTAGGACCACATGGCGGTACTTGCTCATCAGAGCCCAGCTGATGAAGAAGGCTTATAGTAAAATTTTATTTATTTTTTAAAATATATTCTTATTGATTTCAGAGGGGAAGGGAGAGGGAGAGAGAGATAGAAACGTCAATGATGAGAGAGAATCATAGATCGGCTGCCTCCTCACACCCCCTACTGGGGACCAAGCCTGCAACCTAGGCCTGTGCCCTTGACTGGAATTGAATCCGGGACCCTTCGGTCTGCAGGCCGATGCTCCAGCCACTGAGCCAAACTGGCTAGGGCTATAGTAAAATTTTAAAAGAACATCGTTAAACTAAAAACACTAAACATTCTTCACAGGCTTCTGGATTAAGATGACAGAGTGGACATATGTATCCAATTACATTCCTTCCTGAAACCCCACTCAGATGCTAATACAGGAATTTTTAAGAGCATAAACCCACAAAGCAGGGAGGAGAGGATTGGAGGCCACAGCAACACAATCCCGGAAATTCAAAGCAGAAGATAAGAGGTACCGGATTTCACTTTTCAAGATAGCTGAACACTCAGAGTTTGGTGGGAAGCCAAGAACCGAAGCAGTTTATACGAACGGGTTAGGAATATTGGGCATTTTGGAAATGGGATGACGGGGTTAACTATAATAAGGACTGGTGGAAAGCTGTTTAGGATGATTCATTTCCACACACTCCTCAGCCACTTGTCTGCCCCGCCCAACCCTGGCAACAGACCAGAGGTTTTTCCCACTGGAGAGTTCAGTGGAGTCTTGCTTGGTCTGAAGGATACCAAGCAGCACTGAAGATGTGGTGGCTAATGGAGTCGGGCATGTTAAGGGAATGTGTGAGTTCTGAATACTTCCAGAAAGGAAGGTAAAGGAGATAAATAGGAGGGGAAAAATAAGAAAAATTATAGGAGGCCCAATTCCAAATAATAAAAGTTCTAGCCCTAGATGGTTTGGCTCAGTGGACAGAGCATTGACCTGCGGACTAAAGGGTCCCAGGTTTGATTCCGGCCAAGGGCACATGCCCAGGGTGCAGGCTCAATCCCCAGTGTGGGGTGTGCAGGAGGCAGCTGACCAGTGATTCTCTCTCAGCATTGATGTTTCTGTCTCTCCCTCTCCCTTCCCCTCTGAAATCAATAAAAATATATATATTTTTAAAAGTCCTAGAAAGAGAGAGAAAAATGGAAGGGTACAAATCATCAATGAAAATTATTCCATAAAATTTCCCAGCATCGAAGGACATGAGTTTCTAGCATGAAAAGGGCCCACAATGCCCAGAGAAGATTCTACAAGATTCCAGAGGGAGAAAATCAAGTTACATGAAAATGATCAAGAATGGTTTTGGCCCTAACTGGTTTGGCTCAGTGGATAGAGCATCGGCCTGCAGCCTATGGACTGAAGGGTCCCAGGTTCGATTCCGGTCAAGGGCATGGACCTTGGTTGCGGGCACATCCCCAGTAGGGGAGTGCAGGAGGCAGCTGATCGATGTTTCTCATCAATGTTTCTAACTCTCTATCTCTCTCCCTTCCTCTCTGTGAAAAATCAATAAAATATATTTTTTGAAAAAAAAAAGAATGGCTTTGGATTTCTCAAAGACAAAAGTAGAGACCGAAAAGCAAAGGAGAAATGTCTTAAAAACTATGAAGGAAAACTAATTTTGATCTAGAATTCCATACCTAGCCACACTATCAATGTAGTGGAGGAATAAGGCTTTTTCTGCATTAATGTCTGTAAAACTCTTTCTCTCTCCTACTCCTTTCCAAAGAGAGCTGCCAGAGGAGTTGCTCCACCAAAATGAGAGTAGAAACTAGGAAACAGAAGACGGGGGGTAAAGAAAGGAGACTCAACACAGAACAGAGTGGCCGGGCATGTGCCTTGACAGGGAATCGGACTGGTGACCTCCTGGTTCATGGGTTGATTCTCAACCACTGAACCACACCGGCCGGGCAGCATTCCCTTTAGATTTACTGTGTTTTCGAGTCTGTCTTTGTAAGTGCTTTTTAAGTGCTTGCTCTAGGCATTATGTTATTTATATGTGGGTTACAATCTGTGCTTACCACCCTTTACTAGTTTGTACAAGTATACACACCTGACCTCTGTTTAGGACCCTTTATTCTCTACCTTTCTAATACAATTGCCTTAAATATTTCTCTTTTTTTATAGGAGGTTTTATAGGAGGCTTTTTTTATTTGTTTGGGGGGGGGTGTAATTTTGTTTTTTTTGTTCTTTTTTTTTTGCCAAATTGAAAACACAGGCTTGGGAGCAAGATCTCAAATGCTCCCCGTTATCTTAAATATTTACTCTACATGCATTTAGAACCGCGTCCGACTGTGCTATGTCTGTGTTAACCATCGAACATAAGTGGGAAAACTCAAGAGGAGAAGGACATGTCTATTTTTACCCATATTTTGACTCCTCCCCTTGTTTTTTCTTCGTCCCAATGCTCCACGCTCCCTTCTCGGACCCTTTCCTTCCGCGTGAAGACCTGCCGCCACCCCTTCCTTCAGGGCGGTTCCGCCGGCAGCCAGTTCTGTCTCTTCATCTTGTCGGACTCTATGGCTTTGGCCAGTCGAACCCGGGGCCAGCGGCACATTGCCTTCGTGAGCGCTGCTGGGTGAGCATCTGGTCCCTGGCAGGGCCAGGCCTCCGCCCTGTGGTTTTCCCCAGTGTCGCCCTGGCTGCTCTTGGCCTTCTGTATTTCCACATGCACCTTATTTATTTTTTGTTTTTAGATTTTATTTATTTTTATTTTTTACTTTCATTGAATTTATTGGGGTGACATTGGTTAATAAAATTATAGAGGTTTCAGCGTATAATTCTGTAATGCATCATCTGTATATCGTATTATGTGGTCACCACCCCAAGTAAAGTCCCTTCCATCATCATCTATCCCCCCTTTACCCTCTTCGACCTCTACCCACCCCCTTTCTCTCTGGCCATCACCATCCTGTTGTCTTCCATGTGCATTTTAGAATCAGCTTGTTGATTTATACAAACCCCTATTGGGGTCACATTAAATCTATAGATTAGTTTTGGTGGATGTGATGGCTGAACAATATTGGACTTCCAATCCATGGACATAGTCTATAGTTCCATTTACTTGGGTCTTTCGTTTCTCAATGTTTCATAGTTTTCAGTATGGAGACCCGTGTGCATTTCCCCTTAGCTTTGTTCCTGTTTGGTGCTTTTTGATGTTATTTGAAAAAAAATCGTTTTTCAAAATAATGTTGTTTGGAAATTTTCATTTCTCATTGGATTGTTGCTGACACACAGAGGCATGGTGGTCGGTTTCCTTGGCTTTGTATCTAGAGACCTTGCTAAAGGCACTGTAATGGTTTGTAGATTATTTTGGATTTTTGTGTGCATGATCATGTCAACAGTGACTTTTCCATCCTTATGCCTTTTATGTCTTTTCTGTGCCTTTTTGAAGGGGCAGGACATCCAGGTCACTGTTGAATAGTTGGAGTGACAGCTGGCATCTTAGCTTTTGTCCAGTCTCAGGGGAAAAGATTTTAATATTTTGCCATTCAGAATATTTGTTGCTGGCTTAACTTTTTTGGTAGCTGTTCTGTACCAGATGAAAGAAGCTCCCCTTTCCTCCTAATCTATTGAAAAATATGGACCTAGCTGGTTTGGCTCAATGGATAGAGCATTGGCCTGAGGACAGAAGGGTTCTGGGTTCGATTCCGGTCAAGGGTCCTGGGTTCGATTCTGGTTGTAGGCTTGATCCCCACCCCAGTAGGAACATGTGCAGGAGGCAACCAATCTCTCACATCGATGTTTCTCTCTCTGTCTCTCCTCCTCCCTCCCAATCTCTCTAAAAATCAATGGAAAAATATCCACTGGTGAGGATTAGCCAAAAAATAAATAAAATACGAATGGGTATTGAATTTTGTCAATGCATTCCCTGCTTCAATCGAAGTCATCGTATTAATTTTCTCTTTCTCCTCTGTTAACGTGAATTCCAGTGGCTGCTTTTTACCACCCCCTACTTTTCAATTGAGGAATAATTTATGGGCCGTGAAATACATCGATCTTAGTCTGTATCCTTGGAACCCACACCCGAGCAACATACAGACATTTCCGTTACCCAGAACGTCCCTCCGCTGCCCTTCCAGCGGGTGCCCTTCCAGAGAAAACCACAGTCTGACGTATAAACCAGCTGGGACTGTCCTCAACCTTCACAAAACCGTAGCCGCTCCTGTGTGAGGTGTGCGCCTCGGTCTGTGCCCTTTCCCGTGAGCACGTCCCGTCCCGCCGCATGGACGCCCCACGTCTCATCCGCTCTCGGTGATGGACACTTGGGCTGTTTCCAGTTTCAAGCTGTTGCGAACGCACCTGTTAGAAACATTTTGTACAGATCTCTCCGCAAATACCCGGTGGCAGCCACACAGGGACATTGTCCCCAGCGGACAGTTCCAGTGACAAGCTCTTGGACAGTGCGAGCTGCCTGGCCACATGACCGCCTGGTGGACGCTCTGCGCCCTCTGGGTGGGGGGGGGCTAAACCAACAGTCGTAGCGGAAATTGGGGGGGGGGTGCGCACATGGGTGGGTGAGGGAAGCTCCGGCTGGGACTGTGCAGGCCGCCGCCCTGCCCCTCTCTAGCGGAGTCCCCCGGCTGCACTTTCAGGGTGCGTGCGGGCTCAGGCGCGCTCTCCGCCTCGCGGCTGGTCCCTGGTGAGAGCCCCTCACCTCCGCACCGAACAGATCAAGTCCTTACCTGCCTCCTCCCCCAGGGCTCCCTGAGCCCAGGTGTCCTTGCCAAGCCCCGGCCACTGGCCTCCCTGGCTGCTGATTACTTCAAAGAGATGACCTGGCAGGAAGGAGGGGGGCGGGTGCTGCAGCTACTACCCCTGCCCCACCCTGAGCTCGCCCCTTCCCCCCGCCCCCCAGGATAGACAATAAGGAGAGCTGGCTGGCCTGGGTGCTGAGGGTGCAGAGCTCTAGGCAGACAGGCAAGAGCGCTCATGTAGGGACATTGCACAACCCGAGAGGAAGTTCACGCTGAGCACTGGCTGTCACCCACTGGCGGGGAGAGGGGAGGACCAGATGCGAATCCTACCCAAGCAGTAGTAAGAGTCCTTTTAAGGAGATTCTATTAGAACATTAAAAAGATGTTCTGGGACCAAAACCAACCCCCGAAAAACCACCATGATTTTTAAATTAAAATGTTTTATTAGAGCCCTGACCGGTTTGGCTCAGTGGATAGAGTGTTGGCCTGCGGACCGAGGGGTCCCAGGTTCGATTCCGGTCAAGGGCATGTACCTGGGTTGTGGGCACATCCCCAGTAGGGGGTGTGCAGGAGGCAGCTGATCGATGTTTCTGTCTCATTGATGTTTCTGACTCTGTCCCTCTCCCTTCCTCTCTGTAAAAAATCAATAAAATATATTAAAAAATATATATATATTTTATTAGATAATATGAAAAAAGAGGATAGTCTTTGTTGAAATCCAAATAATTGGCACACAGGGCAAGAAAAAGCAAGTTAAACAGATGCAAATTATTAGACCAACGAGACTTGGAGGACAGGCCTCAGGGAAAGCGGAGAGAACGTGCCGGGACAGGGAGGTGAGGAAGGGTTACTCATCTGGCCGCAGAAGAGCCGGGTCTGCCGATCTGATCTGATCCGAGGGGCGGGCGCCAGGCAGGCGTCGCCGTCGCCGAGAGGCACCGAGGCCGTTCTCGGCTCCCAGGAGAAGGAAGCTGTCCTGGGCAGGTCCTCACAGGAGGGGGAGCATTAGCCCGACACTCGCTCCTTCGTGTCCAGCCCCGCGGCTGGCGGACAAGAGGCAGGGAAGGAGGTGCTGTGAGCTGCGTGGGTGGGTGCGCCTGTTTCCTAACACCCGGCGACAGGGGACCGTGACCCGCGTGTTCTGCACCCAGCCCTGGGGTAAAGGACACTGCGCGGGTGGTCTCAATGCTGCCCCCGCAGAAACCCACTGTGCCCCCCACGCCCCTTGCCAGGCCTCTTCCCCACTCGCATCCTGTCGCCTGGATGTGTGATTACCACTTCCTTCGCCCCTAACTCTGGGGTACTGAGCACCATGGCCGTTTGTGACGCCCCCAAAACAACCAGCGAAGTTGGGGAGGAATTCTCCGCTCACGAGGGGCGCGGCCGTGCCCAGCGTTTGCCCGTCATTCGGGCGCGGTGCCTGTGTGCGTGGGGGACGCGGGGCCTGTTCCCTCAGGCCAGCTCAGCGCGTGGAGGAAGCTGGTTGCACCTCGTCCTGGGTGTGCCGTTTGCTCTCGGATCTCGTGGTGCCTGGTATGTGCGTGTGAGGGGCCAGGGCCGGGCCTCCGGTGCCCGGTTCCCTGCCGCAGGGCGCCCCTGCCCAGGATGTGATAATCCATGTGTGAAGGTAAACTGATTTGCAAACAGTTCTGAGGACAAAGTCTACACCCTCGGGCAAGTATGGTGCCGTCCCTCCTGGGAACACAGGCGTTTGCCTGGCACCTGGCCTTCAGGTGACCTTTGCTTTAGGTACCGACAGCCAGGTGGGGTGAGACTGCTGGGAGAGCCGCACACCGGACCGGGACCGCTGCCAGTCTCCCCAGAGTAAACCCCAGACCTCCCGTGCCTGGCACAGACCTCCCTCCCGCTCCGTCACCCTCCCGGTCCCTGCAGCACCCCGTCGGGCAGGCACCACTTTTGCACCCCTGTGACCGACTCCTTTCCATAAACTTCAGAAATCCCCCAGTGCGTCCTCACTGCAGCAGGAGCACAAACAGACACTGCTGAGCTGGGAGCTCCGGGTGGGACAGAGGTGGTCAGGCAGGAAATGCGGCCGTGTTCGAGTTGTACTTGAACCTGTTAAACCTGTTAGGGTCACCAAAGGAGGTACATACGAGGCTGAAAGTGGTAAAGAATTATAAATCTATGAGGTCATCTGGAAACCAGATGGGCTGAGCCCCCAAATTGCCGGGGTCCAGCCCCAGTGGTCCAGGGGTTCCCAAAGGTGTGGACGGCATCGGCGAAGAATGAAGGACACGGAGACAGCGTTCAGATGATCAGCATAGTCAGGTTCTTTTTTATTGTCCTGTCACAGCTGTATTTATATTACTCGATTCTATAAGCATGCCTCTACAGTTACATCATGGTATGTTTGGGGTCCTCCTTTGACCTTCTACAGTTCCTTGTTTTATGTTTATAGTTTATCTGACCTTTGCTAAAAATCTTATCTCTAGCTCTGCTGATTTTAATCTTATCTATCGTCTATGTTTCTACATTCTATTCTAAAGGTTAGTCTCTGTGTTCCATTATAAGGGCTAGTTTGTTATTTATATTTCAAGGTCACTATTCTACTGCTCTACCGTTAAGCTATAAGGAAGTAACTGAGGGAGATTATCCTATTCTATGGCCTCAGTAAAGGTTAGGTAGCTTAAGCATGATGAAGCTTAAGCTAAGCTGGCACTTAGTTGAAGTCTTTCTGCTCGCATGGCTCCCATAAGATTTTTAGACAAGGAGCCTGCCTGCATTGTTTGCAGTGGTATTTCTTTAGCTGTTTGATAGTTGTCCTTTTAGGGTTTTTAGGGGCATAGGTTTTAGTACTTTCTCTGGTGGGTAGACCCCTGGGGATGTGGGCCTAGCACAGTGATGGCGAACCTATGACACGCGTGTCAGAGGTGACACGCGAACGCATTCTTTTGGTTGATTTTTCTTTGTTAAATGGCATGTAAATATATAAAATAAATATCAAAAATATAAGTCTTTGTTTTACTATGGTTGCAAATATCAAAAAATTTCTATATGTGACACAGCACCTGAGTTAAGTTAGGGTTTTTCAAAATGCTGACACGCCAAGCTCAAAAGGTTCGCCATCACTGGCCTAGCAAGTCCTAAATTTATTGCTAACAGTCTTAGTCTAAGTTCCTCATAAGTAGTACACGGTATTTCTGTAACACTAGGGGGTTTTACTGGTTTATTCCCTTCCCTAGTCCCGTTAATCCCTAACTCCAGGGAAACATCCCCAGCTGGGGAAACAACCTTTCTCAGGGAGGTGGCCCTGGTTAGAACACATAGCGCTAAGAAGGGGAGCAAACATATTAAGAACAGTATGCCATATACGCCAGGTCCCTTGGAACATATGCTGTGCAGATGTTTCTTCCCTGCAGCGACTGTATCAAGCAGCAAGGATGGACCGGCTTCTGGCACCAAATGGCGCCAGCACCCAGGCACAGGGGCGTCGGAGGTTTTAAAGGACGCTCAGCAGGCTTTTCGGTGGGGAGTTCTCTGTGTGGGTCTGGGTCCAGGGCAAGTCCGGAGGGGAGAGATACTGGTCTTAGCACATGGAATGGGGTCTAAGCAAAAGGGAAGTTGGTGGCAAAATGATCTAAAGGTCAGTTTCCCAGGGGAAGGGGAATCGATTCCATTATTTGATCAAACCTAATAAAATCCTCCGAATCTGCTGCTTTAGAAACAGCACTGTGAGGAAGGAACAATGCTGATTCATGGCCAACCGGTTAGGAACAGTGTGGGTGCCTGATCCATGACCCCGGAAAGGAGGCAGGAGGAGAGAGGCTGTGGTTCATGAAAGATCCATGATGCTGCCCCCTTGAATGACACATTGTGGCTCCCCTGTGGGTAAAAGACGATTTCTAGACCAGGCTTTGAATTCTTTTTTTTTTTTTTTAATTAATTTCAGAGAGGAAGGAAGAGGGAGAGAGAGATAGAAACATCAATGATGAGAGAGAATCATTGATTGGCTGCCTCCTGCATGCCCCCCACTGGGGACCCAGCCCACAACACAGCCTTGTGCCCTAACGAGGAATTGAACCTGGGACCCTTCAGTCTGCAGGTCGAAGCTCTCGCCACTGAGCCAAACCGGCGAGGGCCAGACTTTGAATTCTTACAAGTTCACTCCTGATGGGAAGAGGCCTGGGGTTTGAAAGCCTTGGGACTCTTGGTCCAGGGTGGATTGGGACAAGGAAAAGGGTTGGAGCTATTCAGTACGAAAACTGCTCCCATTGAACTGTGTGTCGCTGTCAAGGTTTTATTTCAAATTGGTGAGAGAACTAGGCTTCCAAGAAAGCCAGTCCAACATGTATTTCTGGGTGACAGTCTTTATCGTGGGAAAGAAAGGATTTTATTTAACGCATTCATGAGTGAAGGAATGTGGTTTACTGCAGGAGGGCTCCTCAGCAGATACCTGGAGCGGGAGGGGCTGCGGGGCCACCCAGACCGGCTCAGGTAAAGCCGAGGCTCCGGAACCCAAGCGTCGGTCACACACAGTATTGTCTGGACCTAAGGCAAGGGGCAGGGCCTTTGCACTCCTTCAGTGAGGGGCATTGGCTCCCAGGGGTGACGGGGGTTGGAGTATCCCTTCCTCTCTGAAATCAGTAAAAATATATTTTTAAATATATATATATATTTTTTAAAAAAGAACTAGGAAAACCTGAAAGAAAGGAAAAAAAAAAAAGCTGGGCACTAAAGAGAATGGTGCGCCAAGATGCCGCCACCTTCTGCCCTGAGCTGGTACTGCACCCTTTTCGAGCAAAGCAAATCCAGTCCTATTGGTATTAGTAATTCTGTTTAACATCCTTGCGGTTCTGGGCCTCAGAGTCCAAATCCCGGAGCTAGAGCTCAAAGAAGATGAACGGAAATGGCTTAGGTTTAGCCCAGAGTCTCCTCGTGGGGGTTGAGAAAATGCAGGGAGAAGAGAAGAATGAAAGGGGAGGAAAACTCGTTCCTTGTTGCATCAGGCGTCTCACACACACACAGCGGTTTTTAAAAATCTTTGTGAAATGGACCCTAAAAGTCATGCTGCAGACGAGGAAGCAGCCTAAGAAAGTGTTAAGGGATGTTTTTTACAGGGTAAAATGGTGACTCGTGTGCACAAGGATTTTATTTAACGCCTTCATGAGTGAAGGAACCAGTAAGATATGTCTTTATTGTACAACATGGTCCACTACCCACGGGAACAGCTACCCGTGTCTCCATTGTACAACACGGACCACTACCCCCGGGGAACAGCTACCCGTGTCTCCATTGTACAACACGGACCACTACCCCCGGGGAACAGCTACCCGTGTCTCCATTGTACAACATGGTCCACTACCCACGGGAACAGCTACCCGTGTCTCCATTGTACAACACGGACCACTACCCATGGGAACAGCTACCCGTGTCTCCATTGTACAACACGGACCACTACCCCCGGGGAACAGCTACCCGTGTCTTCATTGTACAACATGTATTTGCATCTCCTTGGACGAGACTTTTTTATTACCACCAGTTTTCTACACACACACACACACACACACACACACACCCGCCCAGAGTTGTCAAAGACAAGGATGGCTGGTCAGATAACCCCGGCGGCGTCCGCTAGACCAGCGATCTCCAACCTTTTCCATCTCAGGGCGCCCATAAACTAACGACTGAAATTCTGCGGCACACATACAAAATATATATTTTTTTGCCGATCTGACAAAAAACACACACACAAAAAAGAGGTATAGCCCTAACTGGTTTGGCTCAGTGGATAGAGCGTCGGCCTGCGGACTAAAGGGTCCCAGGTTCGATTCTGGTCAGGGGCATGTACCTTGGTTGCGGGCACATCCCCAGTGGAGGGTGTGCAGGAGGCAGCTGATCGATGTCTCTCTCTCATCGATGTTTCTAACTCTCTCTCCCTCTCCCTTCCTCTCTGTGGAGGGATCAATAGGGTATATTTAAAAAAAAAAAAAAGAGGTATAATTGTGATTCATTCGCGACGGATGTCTGGCTCCTGTAGTGTTGTCTGTGTTCGTGTTTTTATTTGCCGGTCTAAGGGGAAAGGGTCCGTGCGCCACTGCGAAGCCAGGGACTGGTGTTTTATAAATTCTTGTGGCGGCACCGGCTGAAAATCGCTGGCCTGGACAGTCCCGGGTGAAATTAGCTGCCTTCAAGGCTTCAGCGCTGCTAAGAGATCGGACTTCAAACGCGGATCCGTGTTTGCATCGCTTCCGCCTTTCCTCTGTGCCGATGTCGCTTTCGCACAGTGAGGGTGGTTTTCAGCGGAGATCTGTGGCACTGACCGCTCGTCACCCGTTCAGTTAAAATTCCTCGGTCTCAAGAAGGGAGCCCGGCCCTAGCGGGGGTGGCTCAGTGCATAGAGCGTCAGCCTGCAGACTGAAGGGTCCCAGGTTCGATTCCGGTCAAGGGCATGTACCTTGGTTGTGGGCACATCCCCAGTGGGGGGTGTGCAGGAGGCAGCTGATCGATGTTTCTCTCTCATCGATGTTCCTAACTCTCTATCCCTCTCCCTCCCTCTCTGTAAAAAATCAATAAAATATATTTTTTAAAAAGCCACGAACCTCGGTTGCAGACTCCTCCGGGCCTGGGCCCTGGTCAGGGCACCTGCAGGAGGCAACCGACCAATGTGCTTCTCTCACATCGATGTTTCTCTCTGTCTCTCCCTCTCTCTCCCACTCTCCCGAAGAACCCACGGGAAATGCCCTCTGGTGAGGATTAAAAAAGAGAAAAAAGAAAAGAAAGGCGCCCTGTCCTCCCCATCCCCGGACAGACCTCCGGCACTTCCCAAGCTCCCAACGCCAGTCACGGCCGTCTCAGGGCGTCCCTCATGGTGCGGACAGACGGACAGATGGACAGACGGACAGAGGATGTTCCCTCCCTGGCCCGGCCTGAGGGGCCCATCAGACCTTCCGCTTGGGCGCCAGGGGGCGCTGGTACAGCCGGATGATCCCCTCGTCATGCAGCCGCTTCCAGAGCGTCCTCTCCAGGGCGAAGTCGTGGTTGGTGTAAAAGACCGTCTTTTTCCACGACCGGTCGTAGTAGTGGTCGGAGAAGCGCTCGTGGCCCTCGGTGATGAAGCCGTAGGCGCTCACCTGCGTCGAGGTCGGTGGAGAAACGGCCTGTGTCGCTCTCTCCTGGCCTCTTCTCAGGGTCTGTGTGCGCCATGGCCCCCGCCCCCCCCCCATGCACCCCCGCCCCAGCCCACGCCACCCCTGGGCGGGCAGTGCCAGCAGGCGGGAACCCCAGAGCCGTCGCCCGCCCGCCCGCCCGCCCGCCCCCACCTGGTCGCAGAGCTGCAGGGCGGTGAGCAGCAGCAGGGCCCCGGTGGTGGGGCGGTATATCCTCCAGTGGGCCGTGTCCAGGGTCCTCGACCTCAGGAACCTGGAAGACACCCCGCGGTCAGGAGGCTGCGGAGGGGACGCGCGCCGCCGCCCGGGCCGCCGCCCACCTGTTCTTCATGTAGCGCAGCAGGTCCGGGTGCAGCAGCAGGTACCGGTCCAGCCGCAGGGCCTCGCGGAAGACGACCTGGGGCCTGTGCCTGTGGCAGGAGGTCACCGGGCTCAGTCTCCTCCCTCCCTGGGGCCTGGCCGCCCCGCAGCGCGCGCCCTCTCTCTCTCTCTCTCTCTCTCACACACACACACACACTCACACACACGCACACGCACACACACACACACACTCCTGGGCGAGGGGGGCGGGGTACCTGAACCAGAAGAGGCTGCCTGCCTTGACCGTCCGGTTCAGGAGCAGCGCCTCCAGCCACTCGTAGTCCCGGGTGCCTTCCAGGAAGTGCAGGTAGCGGATGTCCTGGGGACCGAGGGCAGCCAGTGGCCCAGGGGGGCTGGGAGGCCCGGCTCTGCCTCCAGCCCGCCCGCCCGCGGCTCTCAGGCCTGTCCCCCACCCCTGCCTCCTCCCTGGGAACTGAGCCTGTACCCGCCGCAGACTCCGGGCCAGGATGCTCGCCCCGTCCCACCTGTGCGCCCCTTCCCGGAGTCTGGCTGGCCCGGCCCCTCCCTCCGCTCACCTCCCCCGGAGGCCCCTCCCTCCGCTCCCCTTCCCCGGAGGCCCCTCCCTCCGCTCACCTCCCCCGGAGGCCCCTCCCTCCGCTCACCTCCCCCGGAGGCCCCTCCCTCCGCTCACCTCCCCCGGAGGCCCCTCCCTCCGCTCACCTCCCCCGGAGGCCCCTCCCTCCGCTCACCTCCCCCGGAGGCCCCTCCCTCCGCTCACCTCCCCCGGCGGCCCCTCCCTCCGCTCACCTCCCCCGGCGGCCCCTCCCTCCGCTCACCTCCCCCGGCGGCCCCTCCCTCCGCTCACCTCCCCCGGAGGCCCCTCCCTCCGCTCACCTTCCCCGGAGGCCCCTCCCTCCGCTCACCTCCCCCGGAGGCCCCTCCCTCCGCTCACCTCCCCCGGAGGCCCCTCCCTCCGCTCACCTTCCCCGGAGGCCCCTCCCTCCGCTCACCTTCCCCGGAGGCCCCTCCCTCCGCTCACCTTCTCCGGAGGCCCCTCCCTCCGCTCACCTCCCCCGGAGGCCCCTCCCTCCGCTCACCTTCCCCGGAGGCCCCTCCCTCCGCTCACCTTCCCCGGAGGCCCCTCCCTCCGCTCACCTTCTCCGGAGGCCCCTCCCTCCGCTCACCTCCCCCGGAGGCCCCTCCCTCTGCTCCCCTTCCCCGGAGGCCCCTCCCTCCGCTCACCTTCCCCGGAGGCCCCCCCCTCCGCTCACCGTCCCCAGAGGCGCGTGCCGGAAGCCGCGGCTGCCCAGCTGGTAGAGCGACTGCGTCAGGGAGAAGGCGGTGAAGCCGTAGAAGGATGTCCGAGTGCCCACGTCCTGCTCGTAGCCCTTAGTGACAGCGCCGCTCAACCTGTGCAGGAGGGCAGAGGGCAGAGGGCAGACAGACCCCTGAGCGCAGAGGGAGCTGCGTGGAGGCGGGTGGACAGGAAGGAGGGATGGAAGAGAGGTGCCCTGTACAGGCCTGGACGCCCCGCAGCGCTCCGGAGAGCCCGTCTCTGTAGGGGAAGCTTGGGGGGGGGGGGCTCACCGGAACACGTAGTCGTGGCCGTCTATCTCCTGGCCCACGTGGGAGTCGTTCAGGATGCCCCCGTTGCCCACCACGGCGCAGCTGACGCACTGGGTGCTCCCGGCGGGGAGGCCGGCCAGGAGCAGCTGCTGCTGGGCCACCGGAGGGAAGCGTGTCACGACCTCCTGCACCACTGGAACAGGGGGGCCCTCCAGTCAGAGCCCCGGGAGGGCCAGGGCGGGGCCCCCAGGGAAGAGGCAGACCCCAGGCCCCTGGCGGAGGCACCGCACTCACAGGAGCGGTTGAGCTCCATGAAGCCGAAGGGCGGGGCGAAGTGCTCCAGGCGCTCCCACTCGCTCTGGTTGAAGTGTCTGGAGTCCAGGAAGAGGGTGAGGTTGGGCAGGAAGAGATGCCGGAGCCAGAGCGACTTGGAGGCTTTCACCTTCACGGAGTCGGGGCAGGTCTAAATGCACGGGGGGGGGGGGGGGGGGGTGTCAGGCAGGTGGCAGGGGGCGGAGAGCCGGCCTCAAAGTTGGGAAGGCACCGCTTCTGCTGCCTCGTCCCTCCTGTTGGCGGCCTGCCTGCCGCGTCCTGAGGCTTCCCCGAGGGCGGGCGTCCTTGGCCATCAAGGCCAATGCCCCTTTGTCAGAGCGGGAGAAATGGGACCCTGGGACACGGGGTGGTCCGTGTGCTGCCCTGGCATGGTTGCAACCATGTGTACGAGTCTGTGTTCTCAGTGTGGCTCTCCTGGGGTGTTTTCTCAGGGATGGAAGAGAGGGGAGGTGGTGGGACCACTCTATGCAGAACACAAGGTATTCCCAGGCGCTAGCACTGGGCACCAGGCTGGGCATTCTGTTATAGATACATATACATGTAGTATATATAACTGATCCCAGAGAGGACGGGAGAGGGAGAGAGAGAAACATCAATGATGAGAGAGAATCATTGATCAGCTGCCTCCTGCACGCCCCTTACTGGGGATCAAGCCCGCAACCCGGGCATGTGCCCTTGACAGGAATTGAACCGTGACCTCCTGGTAAACGGGTCAAAGCTCAACCACTCAGCCGCGCCAGCCACCACCAAGTTGGGTATCCTTGTCTGTTAGTTCCTACCCCCAGCCTCCTGCCCACCGGAGGATGGGGAGGGGGGTCAAACCCCAGAGCAGGTTGCACTCGGTCACCCGATTGACAGCCTCTGTGGAGCCACTCCCTGCACTTTGAAACCAGCAGCTGCGAGTTGGCGTTGCTATGAAGCACGCACACAGCCAGGCACTGACTGTCCGGAGCAGGGGCCTCAAACTTTTTAAACAGGGGACCAGTTCACTGTCCCTCAGGCCGTTGGAGGGCCGGACTGTAGTTTAAAAAAAAATTATGAACAAATTTCTGTGCACACTGCACATATCTTATTTTGAAGTAAAAAAACAAAACGGGAACAAATACAATATTTGTATTTGCATGTGGCCCGCGGGCCGTAGTTTGAGGACCCCTGGTCCGGAGCCTCGGGGGGCTCCTTGCGCACACCTTCCTGTGCCTCCCGGCCAGGATTCTGGGGCCTGCCTCCTCCCCCCATTGCGGTGGGATAGGAAGGAAGTGCCGGGAGCCGGTCCATCCTTGCTGTTTCAAGGGACCTGGCATATATGGCATACTGTTCTTAATATGTTTGCTCACCTTCTTGGCACTATGTGTTTTAACCAAGGTCACCTCTCTGAGAAAGGTTGTTTCCCCAGGTAGGGATTTTCCCCTGAAGTTAGGGAGGGAATAAAACTTCTTAACTAAGTGCCAGGCAGGTAATTAATCACTTTAACTACGAACAATCATGCTTAAGCTACATAATCTTTACTCCCTGGAATGGAGATAAGAAACGCCCTAACCTTTGGAATAGAGATTGATAGGATTGGAATCAACTGGTATAAATACAGATGTAACAAGACAACAGGACACAGAACCTAGACACAGAACCTACACAGAACCTAGAGACAGAAGAACTTCGCTGGAGAGAACATGGCAAAGATCCTGGACAGAAACTGGAGACAGAACCTAGAGACAGAACCTAGCGAGAGAACCTGGCTGAAGATCCTGGACAGAAACTGGCCACAGAACCTAGCAAGAGAACCTGGCTGAAGAACCTAGAGACAGAACCTGGCTACAGAACCTGGATAGAACATGGCAAGAGAACCTGACTAGAACCTGGTGACTGAACCTGGCTAGAGAACCTGGACAGAACCTGGCTGGAGAACCTAACGAGGGAATATGGCTACAGAGCTTGGCTGGAGAAACTAGACAGAACCTGGCTGAAGAACCTGGCCACAGAACCTGGCTGGAGAACCTAGTGAGAGAACCAAACCAGAACTTGGCTAGAGAACCCAATCATGCTGATCAACTGAACGCTGCCTCTGTGTCGTTCCTTCTTCGCCGACTCCGTTCACACCTTTGGGGACCCCTGGACCTGCTGGGGTTGGACCCCGGGGGTGGGACCAGGCAGAGCCTAGGAGTGGAGCCTGGGAGGTGAGGGAGGGGGATGGGCTGAGTGCCAGGAGGGGCGTCGGAGCCAGAGGCAGAGGGCAGGGTCGTGGCAAAACTCACCGTCTGCAAGCCCCCCACGTCCATGCTGTATTGTTCCTCAAAGTCCCACTTGGGCTCAGCCTTGAAGTTGGCGGCCCGCAGCCTGGGGGTGGTCTGTGTGACGGGGCTCCGGGAAGGGGTGGCGCGTGGGGCGGCCGTCTCTGTGGTCACTCCTTTGGTTTCCTTTGTGGGTGACCCTGCTCCCGTGGGGGTCAGCACCTCAGCCCGGCTTTCCAGCATGGGCGTCCCTGCCGTGGGCGCCCAAGGCTGCACCGGCGCTGTCCCCGTGGCTGTCGGCGGCTGATGCTTGTCCCTCATCCCTTTGCTTGTCCTCGCATCCAGAACCCGCGGTGCCTCCGTCCCAGGGGGGGCCGGCCCCCCCGCCTGACTGCTCGGGGACGGTGTGCCCACTGTGGTGCCCTGACTCCTGAACAGTGCCGTCCTGGCTGTGCTGGGTGCTCTGGCCGTGATGTAGCCCGTGGTCTCCGTGTGGCTCGTGGTCTCCGTGTGGCCCGTGGCCTCCGTGTGGCCCGCGGCCTCCGAGTGGCCCGCGGCCTCCGTGTGGCCCGTGGCCTCGGTGTGGCCCGTGGCCTCGGTGTGGCCCGCGGCCTCTGTGTGGCCCGTGGCCTCAGGGCGCGTGTCCAGCGTGCTGCTCTCCTGCGCGGACCCTGCGTGGGTGGGGTCCCTCCTCTCCACGGGGGGTGCCGGGGGCGAGGTCTCCTGCAGTGATGGCCAAGACCTCTCTTTAATGTCCTGTATCCTGTGATGCCTGGAGACAGAGAACGGCTGATGAAGGTGAAGGGAGTAGAAGCTTGGGCCCCAGGCCGCCTGCAAGCCAGTGCCTGTGCGAGGAAAGGAAGCCGCATCCCCATCCATCCGCCAGAGAGGAAGCCTCGCCTCCTGGGAACTCCCCTCCCCCATCCCTCCCCCACCCCCTGCCCTCTCCCCCAGCCCCCACCCTCGGCTCAGTGGTGGCGCGCCGACCTATGACCCAGGAGGTCACAGTTTGATTCCGGTCAGGGCACATGCCCGGGTCGCGGGCTTGATGCCCAGCGGGGATCAGTGTGGGGCGTGCAGGAGGCAGCCGATCGGTGGTTCTCTCTCCCTCTCCCGTCCTCTCTGCCGGGTTCTCTGTGGCGCCTGGGACACTGCTCCAGATTGAGGTCTAAGAAGGAGTTTGTGTGGCCTGAGACCTGTCACCTTGGATTTGCGTGTTGGGGCCCTTCAGTCGACCTTGGGTGGTTTGTGTTTTGTTTTTTTAAATGAAGTGGAGGGAACAATGGTAACCTTGTTCAAAGAAAATGGGGACGAGACACATTTATGTCAAGACCAGGACTGCCAACCTTGGCTTTGAATCAAGAGCCTCGCAAAGGGTCTGCCTTACAGACTGGCTTGAGGCGCTGCTCCCCAGCCAGCAGCTGCCTGCGGCCGTGAGGATGGAAGTGTCCGGAGGAACCCAGGGGCGAGGAGTGACAGCCTCTCCGAGGGTCCAGACCCGGGTCTCGGGGGCTCTGGGCTCGGTCCGCTGCGGCGGCTTCCTTCTCTCTTTCTCAGCCCACGTGGTGGGGGCCGGCCGCCCCCTAGCGCCTGTTCTGGGGACTGTCGGCTCTCTATGCTCCCAGGGTTTCATTTTGGGGGCCCAGATTCTCACGCACTTGGGTGCTTTCTCCATCCCTGGCCAGGGGTCTGGGTAACACGGTGGGTGACATCCTGGGGTCCACCCTGTGCATAGGAGGAGGTCAGTCTCAAGAGAAAGAGGGGGTCATCGGCTCCTGAGATGGCAGACACCCCCTGAGTGTTCACTCTGAAAGAATGCCACCCCAGGCCCGGGTTGGGGGCTCGACCCCCAGTGTGGGGCGTGCAGGAAGCAGCCGATAGATGACTCTCTCTCATCATTAATGTTTCTATCGCTCTCTCTCCCCCTCCCTTCCTCTCTGAAATCAATAAAAATATATTAAAAAAAAAAAAAAAAAAGAATGCCCGCCAGTGCATGAGGGAAGCTGGCGATGGGTCTGTGCTGCTCTGTTTCGGAGAAAGGCTGAGGGCATGAGCTCAGGCTGGGTCTCCCCGAGCTGCCCTCTAAGCTGATAATTGAGCTTAAGCTCCAAGGGCAACGCGGAAGCCGAGGTGTTACCCGCTTGGCAAACAGCTGCTGCTACTGGGCTGGCTCTGGATTCGCCCCCACTTCCCGCCCCCAAACCTCAGAGGCCCGTGGACGTCTTCCTTGCCAGCGTCCAGCACCTGCCGGGCTGTGAGCGGGGACGGGTGCGGCGGGCGGGCCGGGCCGTTCCACCTGTCAGCCCGCAGCGGTCACGTGGGCCCTGAGGACACCCAGCACCGGGCCCCTCTCTGCGGGCCCATCGAGGGGCAAGAGACAGCGGCCCCCGCCCGACCCTTCAGCCCGCAAACGCCACATCTATTTTTACGGGAAGTCTTAGCAATGACCCAGGTCGAGACAACATGACGCTATTATATCTCATTTTACTTCCCTGTAATTAAACACACCTGGGATTGCTAAGGAGGTGGGTGTTTATCCAGGCATTACCGATTCTCAGGTGGGGTGTTTGCTGGGTGTTCAAATTGCTTCCGTCCACATGCTGAGTGGGTTTATACACCGTGGGCTGGGCTGGGCTGGGTTGGGCTGGGGTGGTGGGAGGGTGGGGGGGCCTTTTTTCTATTAAGAGCCTGTAGGTCAGAGGACCAGGCAAATCACTCATGGATCACATCCAAGCCAGAAGCAACTTAATTTCCTAATTCTGACCTATTTGGGAGGTAAGAATATAAAACGTTGCACTTTGAAAAATAAAGGTATCATTAGCAAGGATCACACCGCTCTATTCCATAAATGAACCAATTTGGCATCCTCCTCCCTCTAAATTCTTTGTTTTTTGTTTGTTTGTTTGTTAATCCTCACCCGAGGATATTTCTCCACTGATTTTTAGGGAGAGTGGGAGAGACACATCGATGTGAGAGAAACACATCGATTCATTGCCTCCTGCACATGCCCGGACCGGGGTCCAGGCCAGGGAGGAGCCTGCCACCAAGGTACGTGCCCTGGACCGGAATCAAACCCGGACCCTTTGGTCCGCAGGCCGACGCTCCGTCCACCGAGCCACACCCACCAGGGCCTCCCTCTAAATTCTTAGGTAAACATCGCACGAGGGGGACCTGGGAGCAAAGGCAAGACTAAGTGTTCAAAACTCATTGAGGCCTGAAGCCTCGGCGAGACAGCGGTCTGTCCCGGGAAGGGAATGCGGTAGCGAGAGAGTGGAGGACGTGTGACCCTGCACTGTCCCCAGGCCCCATTCAGATGACCGGGAAGCGGAGACAAATAAGACGGTTGGTTCCCACCCACAAGAAATTCAGAAAAAAACAACAACTTCGGGTTGACGGCCTCCTGTCCGGGCGGCTGCGATAGAGGGCGGGGTGCTGCCTGCCTGGGGTCCTGGCTGGGGCGTGGCCGCTGGGTCTGAGCTGAAGTGAGGAGGTGACCTCGGACTAGTGTCCTGACCGCCTGTATCTGTGCTAGGAGGTGAGGGTGATGATACTGGCCACCCGAAAGGCTTGCTAGACGGTCAGGGGCCGAGGCCGGGGCCGGGGCCTGGCACTGGGGTTCGCGATGTTCGTCGTTAATCAGCCTCCCCTCCGGACGGGCGGCCTTTTCCCGTTTCAGGCCATGGCTCGCTCTCTCCCTTTGCGATGCTCCGGCTGCCTCCATGTCCCGGCTCAGGCAGGTGTGGAGGCTGCCTCCTCCCCGTCCCACCCTGGCCCCGGCCTGAACGAGTCTTGTCCACAGGCTGCCGCACCTTGGACGTCAGGGTGGTTCCCATCCCTCCTGCGGCGACCACACCATCCCACGCATCTGTTTAACCTTGTGAGCCTCCTCCTCTTCATTGGGTAAACAAATAATCAGAGATAACACACGGAAAGCCCCTGGACCCTAGGCTACTATCTGCAAATCTCTGAAATGATCGCGCCATAAAAGAGCCATAAAAGTGCCAACAGCGCTTTGATAATGAGTGACCTTCACACACCGAGCTTTCCTGACCTTGGTAACTCTCCTTCCCCGTGGGGTTGGCGGTTTACAGCTCCCTCTCTTTTCCTTTCTTTCTTTCTTTCTTTCTTCCTTCCTTTCTTTCTTTTTAAGAATCGTTTATTGATTTTTAGAGAGAGGGGAAGAGAAAGGAACATCGATGTGAGAGGGCACCTCCATGGCTGCCTCCCGCACGCCCCAGCGGGTACCTGGGCGGTCCTGGGGCTCGGATCCCTCCGCGGGCCGGGCTGAGCTGCCCTCCCCAGCATCCTGGCTGTGGAGACCCCGGGTGGGCGGAGGGCACTGGCCTTCTTCCCAGGGACACGATCCCAGGGTCAGTGCCCACCCCCTTCCGCCTTTAGAACGCTCCGGACCAGAAACAGGGCCGGGTACTCGGTCTCCTTCCGACGCCCGGCACGAAGCCCTGGGCGGGGGAGGAGGCCAGGGACCTGGTCACGATTGCCCCACAGCTCACCCCCACTCTCACTCCCAGGGGGCCGGCGCCCCAAACACTCTTCTCTGAGCCTCTCTCCCTCCCTTAGCTTCTTACTTGTTGGTTTTTTGTTTTTTTTTTAAGGGAGAGAGAGACAAACATCCATCTGAGAGTGAAACATCAATCACTCGGCTGCCTCCTCCCCGCACCCCCCCGCCCCCGCCCCCGAACTGGGATTGAGCCCACAGCCTGACTGGGAATCATACAGGCAGCCTTCCGGGCCTGGGACAACACCCAGCCTACGGGCCTCAGTGGACAGCGCACCTCACCTTCTTAGGTAAACCAGATCTAGTCAAGCTTTTGTCATTTGCAATCAAAAGACTTCCAACATATACAAACCCATATGCAGGCCTACACAAAAGTAAACTTCAGGTAGAGTAACTATTTGAGCTTACATAGCAAAAGTAGAAAATATGGAAGACAATCTATATCATTTTGGACTGGGGCAGACTTTCCTAGGAATGCACAAAGTCTAGTGGCCATAAGGGAAAAGACAGACAAATTTCATCTATATAAAGTTATTTGTGTGTGACATGATGGGGACCAATGTGTATCTATCCATCTGTCATCCACCTACTTCCCTACCTATCGACCCCTCCGTTCACCCACACATTAGGGCTTGCACAGCATACGGTAAAGAGCACAGGCTATGGTCCCAAATGCTGGGTTTGAATCCACCCTGCAAGCAAGTCTGGGTGACTCACTTAAGCTCTCTGTGTTTCCGGATGTTCAGAATCGTAAGCATTAGTGAGTTAATTCACATAAAGCATTTAGGATCCTGCCTGGCACCTAGAGAATTCTACAGAAGTGTTAGCGACAATAACATCATAACTACATATACACCCAGGTATTAAGAGTGCTCACCCCAGAAGAGTGGGTAGAGATGGGGTGTAATGGAGAGACCCTCCCTTCTTGCTCCACCTTTCTGTATTGTTGTAAACTTCATGAGAACAAGCATTGCTGTCAGATTTTAAGAAGAGTGAAACACAATTTTAAAAATTGAGTCTAGAGAGAACAGGGTCTCTCACTGCTGGAGATGTGTTTATTCTCTAAGAAAACTGGTCTAGCCTGGCCAGTGTGGCTCAGTGGTTGCACATCGACCAAGGAACCAGGAGGTCATGGTTCGATTCCCAGGCAGGGCTCATGCCGGGGTGCTGAGGGCTCGGTCCCCAGTGTGGGGTGTGCAGGAGGCAGCTGATCAGTTATTCTCTCTCACCGTTGATGTCCCTCTCTCTACCCCTCTCCCTTCCTCTCTCTGAAATCAATAGAAGGAGCTATACATGAAAGAAAACTGGTCTAGAAAATCCTTCCTATGGATTCTTGAGGCCCAGTGTTTAAGCTGCCTGCCGATGTGACGGACTTCTTAGGGAGAGTATGGTTATGAAGTGAATGAATGAATACACGGGTAAGTCTTTTGCTTCGAGACACTGAATGGCACGTGAGAACTGAACCCCAGAACTGCCCTGAAAACTCACAGTCCCGGGGGGACATACTCCTGCTCTCGAACCCCTGCCTGCGTGCCCGTGGCACCCCCGCTCCCACCGCCTCCACGGTCCCCAGGCTTCCCGGTCCCCGTCCCCCACGAGGGCACACAGCCGTGTCTCCGAGTTCCCCAGTCCTCCCTCCAGAGTTTTCTGTTTCCTCTAACAAATGACGGGCTTGGAAAAGGCCAGGGTCTTACCTGGTGGGCTTTGTATTCGGTTCCTTAACGAAGGCGGGCAGGGTGAACAGGAGGAAGAGCAAGCCGGCCAAGAGCAGGAGCCAGTGGGCAGCGCGGCCCAGGTGAGCGAGTCTCCGCAGGTGGGGCCTCATGGTGGCGGGTCGGGCCCTCGGGAAGCTTCTGCATGTCCCGGGGCCTTGGCATGGACCGTGGCAGCCAGAGGAAAGGCTCGGGCGTCCTGGCCGGGGAGTGCACGCCCTTTGTCCTCATGGAGACTCTGGGAGGAACCCCGCCGTGGAGAGGTGTCTGCCAGGGGAGGAGGGGCCGCTTCGCTGTGCGAGGCTCCAGGCCGTCCTGGCTCGAAGGAAAACTCCTTTTGTTCAGACAAGTTCCCCTTCCTTCTCTTTGTCCTGAAGACAGTCTCTGAACGGAGGACTTCATGTAAAACAAACACGCGTTACATGGGAGGAACCTCGCGTTCGTAAGCAGGTCCCACACCCTTGGGGACCCCGAACGAGCGCACGGCCTCCACGCACAGGTGAGTTTTATGACAACAATAAGGGCACCCATTCGGTTCGAGGCCCCCTAGCAATCTTTTCTTAAAAGACCATCCTAAAGTCCAGCAGGCCTGTGAGCCAGGAGGTCACCCACCGTTCGACTCCCTGTCAGGGCACATGCCCAGGTTTCAGGCTTGATCCCCAGTGTGGGGTGTGTAGGTGGCAGCCAATCAATGATTCTCACTCATCATTGATGTTTCTATCTCTCTCTTTCTCCCTCTCCCTTCCTCTCTGAAATCAGTAAGAATATATTTAAGGGAAAAAAAGACCATCCTAAGTATTTAGGGTAGCAGTTTGCAATCTCAGGTGCACTGGAATCCCCTGGGAAGCTTGAACACATGCTAACGCCCAGGCTGCACCCCAACCAATTAAACCAGAATCTCGGGGGCCGGGCCCTTTGCCAGGGGTGGGTATTTTTTCAGTTCCCAGGATGTGACCTAGTTGAGAACCACTGATTTATGGGCGGGGGAGGGGGGAGGGTGCGGGCACACGGTGTTGTTAAATGAACAAAGTTGGATACTCAGTGCGCTTGTCAGAACCTGGTGAGCACTTTGGGGACTTTCCACAGAGGCCTGGGACCAGCCACCTGCCTCCCGGGACCTCGGACAAGGTCCTTAAACTTCCCGCCTCACCTGCCAAAGGGAAAGGAGGCCTCCGCCGCCCGGGGTCAGACTCTCGAAGAGGAGGCACCCGCCCTCCTGGCCAGCCTTCTCCTCCGCAGTGACCGGCCAGCGGGCAGGATGCGTGCCCCGCACCAGGTGACCTCCCAGCCCCTCCAGGTACCAGGCGACCTCCCAGCCCCTCCAGGAGCCGCACTGTGGTCAGCCCATTTCACAGTCGAGGACATTGCCTCCGGGAGGGAGCGGCTTGGCCAGGATCCCAGAGGGAGCCTCAGGCTGGGGGACCAGACCCAGTTCACACCGGCTCCTTCTCCCTGAGGCACAGCGCCTCTGAGGAGCAGTTAATGCTGCTGGCGTGGGAAGCAAAGCACATGTGCTTGGGGCAAAGGGACAACTCCGAGAAACCATCTCGAGATCAGTTAAGAAAACAGAAAATTCAGAGAAGCAGCAGGTGATTCATTGAAAAAATACTGCGGACAGTAGTTGAACAGGTGCTGCCCAGCAGGTGCCGCTCTGAAGGTCTGGGACGCGGGCCATGCCTCTGCGTGCTCAGCCCTCAGCTCTGGGCCCCACGTCGTCCGTGGCCCTCACTCGGGCAGCACCAGTAAAGGCGTGAACAGCCCTCCCTCCCGGGATGGACGGAAAAGGTGAGAGTGGGCGTCCGAGCAGCTGAGAGTCACCCCAGCACTGATGGCTTCCTCTGTCCCCAAGGTTGGCCCCCGCGCCCCGTTCCAGGGGGCGAGCCGTGAGCGAGGAGGAGCCCCCCCCAGGACTGATCGGTCTGTCTCTCCGGGCACACCTCGCCTGTCCGCGCCCACACGCCACTCTCCAAACATTCTCTCAATAGACCGGAGTCTAGTCAAAACTCTGCCTCGCCCAGCCGGCGTGGCTCAGTGGCTGAGCGTCCGCCTGTGAACCAGGAGGTCATGGTTCGATCCCTGGTCAGGGCACAGGCCTGGGTTGCTGGTTCGATTCCCCAGTGTGTGGCGTGCAGGAGGCAGCTGATCAGTGATTCTGTCTCTTCATCGTTGTTTCTCTCTCTGAGAGTCTCTCCCTCTCTGAAATCAATGAAAATATATTTTTTAAAAGCCCACAAAACTCTGCCTTTAATTGACCCTTTCCCGGGAGTTTGCCTGCACACTTGGCAGGAGCAGTTACCCTCCGCTCTGGTGCCCATGGGCAATGCCCGGCCAAGGAAGTGCACAGGGAGGCATTTCCTTACCCGGCGCCTGGGTTTGATTAAACAAAAGTGTCTTTTTCATCTCACCGTGTCTGAAGAGACAGGCTATGGGCCTCCACGGAGCCTGGGGACCCAGCTGGCCGCCGGTGCCAGCTGAGCCACGGTGGGACCTGTGCCTTCTGCCCCCTCGGGGCTGGCTGAACTTGGAGTTCTCGGGGCCAGCCGTGGAGGCGGGTCGTCGGAGTCCTGGTTTCCTGGTTCTCAGGTTCCAGCCCCCACTGCGCTGCGCACCTGGGCAGCCGAGGACCTTCCGGGAGTTTGTGAGCCACCATCGCAATGTTCACGTTTGATGTGAAGGTCTCCTTCCCCCCCCTTTAAGCTAAAGCGTCTGACGCGAGTCTCTCTCTCTCCAGGATGTGAGTCTAACTGCAGGCAGGAGCTGCTCTGTGGTTCTCGGCGTAGGTGAGCTCCCGATCCGCACACAGACACGAAACCTGGGAATGTGCTCGAGAGATGATTCCACCCTGCAGAGCCAGGCAGACGGAATAACGGATTCAGAGAAGGACAAACTCAGAGAGAGGAAGGATTCTTTTTTTTAAATATATTTTTATTGACTTCAGAGAGGAAGGGAGAGGGAGAGAGAAACAGAAACATCAATGATGAGTAAGAATCATTGATGAGCTGCCCCCTGCACGCCCCCTACCGGGGATTGAGCCCACAACCTGGGCATGTGCCCCTGACCGGAATCGAACCCGGGACCCCCCAGTCCGCAGACCAACGGAGCTGAGTTGCAAATGGGGGCAAAACTGGATTTTCCACGGGGAGGAGGGCAATCAGACCCCACAGACTCTGCCCACCTGGAGGCTGCTCTTCAGGGTGAGGGTGCCTTGGGATGGCTCCAGGATTGGAATTCTTGGGAAGTGTCACCTCAGATTCCCTCTGCTCTAAGACCATCCTGACGATTTAGAGCGGGGGTGCGGGGGGGACACGTCCGGCCCTCGGGCCGCATAAGGCCTGAGAATTCATCTGGTCTGGCCCTGCCAAGGCCTTAGGGGTGAGTTAATGGAATGTTTGACCCAATTCAGGCTAATGTTTAAGTTGATATTTTGTATGGCCTGCGAATGACGTCATAAATATCCAAACGGGCCCCCCCAGCGTGGCTCAGTGGGTGAGCGCCGGCCTATGAACCAGGAGGTCCTGTTCGATTCTGGTCAGGGCACAGGCCTGGGCTGTGGGCTCCATCCCCAGGGTGAAACGTGCAGGAGGCAGCCGATCAATGATTCTCTCTCATCACTGATGTTTCGCTCTCTCTCCCTTCCTCTCTGAAATTAATAAATATATCTTTTTAAAAGCATATCCAATGGCCCTTGGCAGGAAGAAGGGTCCCCACCCTTCTTAGAGGCATGTTGGGTCCCAGGGGACGAAGTCCATCTTCCTGGAAGTCAGCTTGTGGGGGTGGTGAGGGCACTGCACTCAGGCCCCTGAAGGCCCTGTCTTCTCTGACCGGGTTCTCTGTGCCCGGCCGCCCCTGACTTTTCCCCACAGGCTGATTGAGACACAATGTGCCTACTGCCTCGTCCAACCACCAAGTGTCCGGGCCCGTGGGTTTCAGCCGGATAACTGGATTGTGCAGTGGATTTACAGAGCAGTGCCACCATCCCCATAATCTAATTCTAAAACGTTTTATCGAGAGAAACCTCATGCCCATGAGCGGTCGCCCCCTGCCCGAACGCTCCTCCTTCCCCGCCCAGCGGGAGGCAACCGCCCGCCCGTGCCCCGTGTCCCGTGTCCGTAGATTTGCGGGTCCCGGACACCGGGGAAAATGAGGTTCTGGGATGTGTGGGGTCCTGGTGGCTGGCTGCTGTCACTTCGCAGGCCGTGGTGTGCGCCGGGCTCCACCCGCGTTCTTCCGTTGTCCGGAGGTGCTGCGTTGGGTCGGTCCGTTCATCGGTTCCTGGGCATCTGGGTTGTCTCCGCCTTTGGCTCTTGTGAACGATGCTGCCAGGAGCATTCCTGGGCAAGTTGCCGCGTGGAGAGGGCCTCGTTTCCCTTGGGAGGGTCCTAGGGGTATAATGCTGAGTTATATGGCAGCTCTAGTTTACGTTTTTTGAGGAAAGGCCCATGTATTTTTCAGAGCGGCTGCCCACAACTTTCCCACCCGCGATGCCCGAGGGATTAAATGTCTACATTGAAGCCAAAATTGATTGTGTGTGTGAACTGGTTTGTTGTCATTTTGTTTGTTTGTTTAATTTTAGAGAGAGAGGAAGGGAGAGGGATAGAGAGATAGAAACATCCATGAGAGAGGAACGTCTATCGGCTGCCTCCTGCACGCCCCCTACTGGGGAGTGAGTCCACAACCGGGGCATGTGCCTGATGGGGAATCGAACTGTGACCTCCTGGTTCATAAGTCGATGGTCAACCACTGAGCCACACCAGCTGGGCTTTTTAAAAAACCAAATTTGGGAAGTTTTCAGGCATTATTTCTATGAATATTTTTTTCTCTCTGCTCCTTCCCTTTCTTATGATACTTTTCAACTCCACAATCTTCCTTTGGTCTTTTAAAAATAATTTCCATTTCTTTATTAACATTCTCGACTTCATGAGTCATCATTGTCATACCTTCCTTTATCTTTTAAAAATATAGTTTCCTTTGGTTTTTAAAACATATTTATAGTACGTTCTGTGGCCTGCCCCCCACCCCCGCCACCATGTATGAGTCACAGTTTCCTGTTTCTTTCCTGTTAATTGTTTTGTTGGAAGCCCAACAGCTGCCAGAGTATTTCTCAGAGAGGCTGCCCATTTCACGTCCCGCCAACTGGGAACTTCAGGGTGTCCACGCTGACTCTCCTCCTGGTTGTTGTAGCTGTTGTTTGTTGGGCCATTTGTTTATATGTTTAGTTCTTACCCGATTCTGTGGCGTCTAGTACCTGGTTTGCGTGCAGCTTGCGATGTCTTCGCTCAGATTTTTTTGGTTTGGTTTGGTTTTTGTTTAAATCATATGTTTTTATTGATTTCAAAGAGAGGAGGAGAGAGGGAGAGAGGGATAGAAATATCCCCCCTACTGGGATTCGAGCCTGCAACCTGGGTATGTGCCCTGACCGGGAATCGAACCGTGGCCTCCTGGTTCATAGGTTGACACTCAACCACTGAGCCACCCCGGCCGGCTGTTTTGTTTTCCTCACTTCGGTCTTGCTCTGACCGCACAGAATGAGTGGGGTCCTAAGAGGACTCTTGCTGGCTGCCTCTCTCCCTTGTCTCTCTGCTCAGTGTATGGCTGGTCTGCTGTGTTGCTGGTTTCACTAGCATCGTGCGCAAAATGTGCTTTGGGACACCGTTTCTGAGGAGCCATTTTTCCCGATGTCAATGCAGAATCACCAACAATGCAGAAAGAGCAAAGATATGCTCGCCCGGGCACAGAAGCCAGTGGCAGAGTCGAGCTAAGGGAGACAGTAACATGTGCTCTCGGCACCTGTGGGGCAGGCTGGGGGTGTGCCAGCGCCTGACACAGCAAGCAGAGGGCACTGCCCACATCAGGCTCCAGAAAGCTTTCAGTCAGGTGTGCCACCTGCGTCCTTTGTGCCACCCTGTCCTTTCTGTGCCCGTGGAATATGCCCTTGAAGCCAACAGGTCTCTGAAAAGAAGCAAACTCAACGCAGGCAGCTTCTTCGCTGCTCGTAGAAGTACACGCGGACTGGAGAGCTCCCCTCCGCCCTCCAGGCCAGGAGCTGTTCTTATCGCTCCCCACAGCCTGCCCCCCGAATTCACGCACTGCTTGGGTTTGTCATTGCTGCTCCGGTTTGTCCTTTGGCCCTTTGGGCTGTGCTGTTCAGAAACAAGACCTTCGTTGGATCTTTTCTCTGTAATCTAAAGAAAATGTGCTTTGTCTTGTCTTTCAGGTTGAGCGTGGCCTTGGCCCTCGGGAATGCACGTTTAGCTCTGCGTCACACCTGGGCGCTTCACAGTGGAGGCCTTTATCCCCGAATTGTCCCACTGCCACCGACAAAGGCAGCTGTTTGCCAAACCACACAAGAAGGGCCTTTGGGTGTCGTTGGGAACGAAAGTCCTTTCTGCCCTGGGCCGTCCTCCCGCCTCTTCGGTCGGGAAGGCTGTTTTTCTGCAGCCCGTGGCTCACCTGGGCATCGTAAGTTCCACAGGAAGGGGGCTCCTTCTGCCGCCGCCCAGAATGCATCTCCCCGCCTCCTGGCTCTGGGAGTACACCCTGCCACTGTCTAGCTGTGCGACCTTGACAAATCACTCATGAATGGTTATATTATGAGTTCACAGGGCACACAGACTCCATTCTAAGCTCTTAAACATATGTTTTCTTACTCCTCATAACAATCCAATGAAGCGGGTCGTTAAAAATCTCCATTTTACAAATAAAGAAAGTGAGACGCACAGTAACTTGCCCTAAACCACTGAGCCAGGTGGTAACACAGCCAGGATTTGAAGCCAGGGAGTCTGGGCACCTGCACCATTGTGCTCTGTGGCCTCAGGGCGAAGTTGAATCTGAGCATCGCCTGTAACATGAGCTGGTTGACCAGATGTCTTCCGAGATCCCTAGTAGCCCGTGATGCTCAGCCTCGTTCGGGAGGAGGGCTTGGGGAGAATGAACCCAACCTCCCCGCGCCTGTTCCTTATGCTGGACCAGCCCAAACCTCCCGCCAGGTGCACATTCCTCAGTCGTTACCGGCAGTACCGTGGCCACTCCACGCATCTCCTGTTCCCTGGGATAGATTTTGTGTTACACTCACTTTTTTTTTATCCCTAGACCCTTACCAAGGACCACGAGAAGATAAAGGGTGAATAAGGGTGTTTTACCTGACACGCTGTACATCTGACGGGGCCTTTACACTAGGAGGGTGTCCATGAAAGAGGAGAAGGGACCCCTCCATGCATCCCATCTGAGCCATTTCTCTGGACTCCTAAAATATCAGCAGGTTTTTGATAATATGCAGTTTTTACTAACCTTCTCCCCAAGGCTCAATTTCAAAACAGAGACCCTCAAACAGACCCATATGCTGCGTGTGGAAAAACTGGCCCTCACTCAAAGGGTCTACATAGGAGATCTCTTACTGCCCAAGCCAATGAGTGATGGTAGTTAAAGAATGAGAAGGGGAGCCTGGCCGGTGTGGCTCAGTGGGTGAGCATCGACCTATGAATCGGGAGGTCACGGTTCAATTCCCGGTCAGGGCACTTGCCCTGGTTTCGGGCTTGATCCCTAGTGTGGGGCATGCAGGAGGCATCCGATCAATGATTCTCATCACTGATGTTTCTCTCTCTCTCTCCCTTCCCCTTCCTCTCTGAAATCAATAAAAATATATTAAAAAAA